AGCCAAGCACCACCCGCTCCTCCTCGCCTCTCCAGTGTCTCCCCTTCAGCCCGAGCATCGCGGCCTCCTCGCAGCTCTCCCCGGGCTTTTTTGTGGGGTGCTTGAGGCTGCAGGTGTGAAAAGTCAAGTAAACAGTACGTCAGCTTTGCTTCAAAGCAAAAACACGTCTCCAGCCAGCTCTTCGGCGCCGTGTTCCTGCCTCCGCCCTTGGGATGCTGCTAGCCCCCCCGCGCTCTTCCTGAAATGAAGCCGGCTTGGAGGCATCTCACCGACGGCTTGGTAGCATCTCACCTGCTTCTGCCCATTTTCACGAGCGCCAGTCTCCTCTTGTCACCTCCCCGTGCCACCCAGGGTGCCGGCGTGGGGACCGCGATGGTCCTGCCATGGCCCCGGGGGCTGCTGCGGTGCCGGGGAGGCTTCCCCGTGTGCCGGCTCTGGGGCAGGAGACTCTGGTAACACCCAGCACTTGCCAGGGCAGGGACAGATGCGTTTTTGTGGCTCTTTGGCCACATCGGGGACATTTAGCAAAGCTTGGTGCTCTGTGAGCAGGAGTGGCAGGTATGCTCTGGCTGCCTCCCTGCCCTGTTCAGACCAGCAGGGTTTTCAGCACCTCCAAATTGCTTCGTTACTTAGAAAGCCTTTGCTTTTTCCCCTGTTTCCCATTCCTGGCCCTTTGCCCGCTGAGCCTCAGCCCTGTCTGGTGTCCCCATTGCTGGAAATACCCGTCTAGAGACCTCGCACAATGGGAAAGCTTTTGCTACCCCTTACGGAAAAATATAAGGAGTCTCTGATATTTTTTTTTTGCAGTCCCCAGAGAGCTTGCCCACCTCAAACAAGCCCTTGCTCTGGAGCTGAGGTCTGTCTCCTTCAGCCTGGCTGGATGGAGAGAGATGATGAGAGGCAGTACTTTTCCCCAGCAAGCAGAAAGCCCTTGCCATGTTTGATGGAGCTATCGGGCAAGCCTCCAGCATCAGCAGACGTCCACCCAGCCTAGCATTAGAGTGTAATTTGGGCTTCGCATCTCCCGGTCTCTGGTGCAGGGAGATGTGGTAATTGGATAAGAGGGGTTTAATTGCCCGCAATGCCACGCTGCGGCTGTTCCTGCCTTTCCTTGCCCTTGCAAGGAGGAAAAATCAGGCCAAATGATTCAATCTCCACGTTGTTTTCGTGGCAGGGGGTTGCTTCGTCCCCCAGCATGCCGGAGAGCTGCCGGGGAGCAGGACTCCTTGCAAGGATGGAAGAAAGTCAATGCTCCCGGCTTGTGCCCAGCACCTCCGTGCTGGGGACGTGAGTTGCCGGGCGCAGGCTCGGCAGGAGGGTGACGTGTTCACCCAGGGGTGGGCTGGTTCTCGGGGCGTCTGCTCAGCTCTTGCTCCACCAGCTCCTAACGCTGCCGGGTGCCTTTCCAGGGCTGGTTTTGCTGCAACACATGGCTGGCGTAAGGAGTCCCTCCCGCTTTGCCGTGCCCTGTGTTCCTCCGACTTTGGCTTTTTGATGAATTTCATGAGATTTGGTGCCAACGGCCTTCCTTTCTCCGTGCCGTGCGCCTGGGTCAGGTTAAACAAACAGTGCTGAAATTCATGAGACCCATGCGGGCAGTTATATCGTCAGCGCCGGTGATATAGAGAGAGCGCCTGGCCCGGCACCGACTGGCCCCCACGCTGAGCTCGCCGTTGGAAAGCGGTTGGCTGGAGGCCACCGAGGGGATCACTCACCTGGCATAAAACTTAAGCACGTGCATAAATCTTTGCAGCATCAAGGCCAGAAAATGCAGTTTATCAACCCCGACCGTGCAGGAAAGTGAACTCTATGCGCGAGGAGCCGCCTTTCGCCTGCACATCTGGGAGCGTTCGCGGGGTGCGGCTCTGCCTGGACTTTGCCTGCTGCC